ACTTAATGCCTTTAATCTGGTCTCTATACAAGTTGTTTCCACAATTAAATGGAAGATTCTTGAGGGTAGGCACTGTTTTACTTTTGTCTTCATTTCCCCACCTAGGCCTAGTATGATGTATGGCACTTATTAGGGGCTTATTAAATTCTTGGTGATGAATCCCTTCCCATCTCTTTTTTGAATCTTGGTCTCTTACTCTATTGTGTCCCCTTTCTGAGAAGGTACAAATATTTTTAATTCTTCCATATTCTTTTTTTTAAATTTTTTTTTCCATTTTTAGGTAACTGGGGTTGCCCAGGGTCACACTGCTAGTAAGCGTTAAGTGGTTGTTCTGAGGCTGGATTTGAACTCAGGTCCTCCTGACTTCAGGGCCGGTGCTCTATCCACTGCGCCACCTAGCTGCCCCAGTTCTTCCATATTCTTAAGAAGCTTTCATTCAACCTCATTATCTTTAAAAGATATTGTCCCATGATTGCACCTACATAACCTATATTAAATTGCTAACTGTCTTAGAGAGGGGGTGGTGAGGGAAGGAGATAATTTGGAACTCAATTTTTTAAAATGAATGTTAAAAATTGTCTTCACATGTAATTGGAAAAAATAAAATACTATTTAAAAAAAGATACTGTCCCATCTTTTTCTTCCTCTTCACTGTCAAATCTTTGTTTCTACCCATTCTCCCTTCAACTCCTTGCAGTCTGGTTTCTGCCCTCTCCACTCTGAGACCTCTATCTTTTTCCTCCTTTTTTTCCCTCTATCTTTATCCTCCTTTACTTCTCTCCCATACCTGACCTTGTTGACCATCCCCCTCCTTCACAACATTTTTTCCTACCTTGTCTTCAGTGACAGCGCTCTCCTGGATCTCCTCTCAACATTGACTGCTTTTTCTAGCTTCTCTCTAGCCCCCCCTAAAATAGGCATCCCCTGAGGCTCTGTCTGAGGCCCTCTTTTTTCTCTCATGATAATTTATTCTATTCATGCTAATGACTTCAGCTATCTTATCAAGGTGCATGACTCGCAATTCTTAATCTTTAGCCCTATCCACTTTCCTGAGCTCCAGTTCTATCCTGGACAATTCAACTTGAACATCCCATCTAGAAGACATGGGTTTAAATCACACCTCTCCAGCTTATGATGTGCCCTTGCACAAGTTACTTCACATCTCTGGGCCTCAGTTTCCTCATCTATTAAATGGGAGGGTTAAACTAGATGGCCTTTGAGGGACTGCCAGCTCTAGCTCTATGATCCTATGACCTTCAATCCAAACTCAATGTCAGAGGCAGCATTGTAGTGGAAAGAATCTTTGCATGAAAGCCAATACTTCTGGGCGAGGCTCTGCCACTTCTATATCTGTAACCTTGGGCAGAAAAGGACTATAATAGACCTCAACAGATTTAAAGTCATTTTGTTAATCTCTAGGGCACAAAGATGTACTGTGGAAAACTTAAGTTGGTCATAAAATAATCATACTTGATATAATTTTCTTTTTTACTAGACTTGGAGAATTTCCTCTCTCAAATGCAGATAGGCATCTTACAGTCTTAGAGCACTGTTTGAGGCATTGAAGAAAGCCAGAGACAGAAATTGAACTAAACTCTTCCAGACAATGGGGACAATTTTCTCTTTGCTATCGTGGTAGAAGATATGGAAGGGGGGAAAAAAGCAAGAGGAAAATTTTGAGAAGAAAAAATTGGGGAATTACTTTTTCTCCTATTATTGAGGAGAGGAGAGGGGAGACATCTGAAAAAAAATTGGAATATTTTTCAAAATTATTTTTTATCTCAGAATTGACCATTTAAGATCATCTCTAATCATTGAGCCTGGAGAGTCAGCCCCAGACACCTTCAAACCCTCAGCATCTAAGGGAGTGTTCAACTCTTTAGCTTCCACTTATATAGTCACCAGCAATAGGCCCTATTTTCATAGGACTGAGTCAGAAAGGCACTTGGACATCACTTAATTCAACCTCTCATTTTTTATAGACTGAGGAAACTGAGGTTTAAAGAGTGCCAAGTAGATCATCACCCAAAGTCAGGCAGCTGCTAAGCAGCAGTGCTGGCACTAATATGGAGATCATAGTGTTCTATAGGTCTACAGCTGGAAGTGACCTTGGAGACCTGCAGAGACCACCTTCTATGATGAGGAAAATGAGGCCCTGGGAGGTTAGGTAACTTGCCTAGGACCACACAGCTTGTCAGTAACAGAGGTGGGACTTAGTCAATAAGCATTTATTAAATGCCTACTATGTGCCAGGGTACTGTACGAGGCACTGAGGATACAACGAAGCTGCCCCCCAGGAGCTTCCAGTCTAACGGGTGAAGACAATATATGGAAGTATATAATATAAATATACAAAATACACTTGAACAAGTCTTGGCATCATAGTCACTAGGTCATATGACCTCATTAGGTCTTTGGAGTCTTTCCTTGGGGGTCTTTGACAAAGTCACCTTTGACCTCTTTCATTCTCCCCTACTACAGAGAAAATGGCGCGGGGACACCTCACCCACACCCCATCTCCTCCAGGGACCCTCCCCCAGCCTCCTTAGAGGGGGCCCAGGGCCCCAGGAGTCTGAGGAGAGGGAAGGCCCCCTCCCCCTTAACTGTCCCTCCACCTCACCTGGGAGGAGGCCGGGTCAGGCCTTAGGGTGCGTCCAAGGGCAGCTCTGGGAGGGGGGGAGTTAGAGGAGGAAGGAAAGGGTGGGGCCCGAGGGAGCTCCCCCACTAGAGAAGGGGCGGGGCCTAAGGGAGCTGCCCTGTGATAAATTAGGGGGCGGGACCTGAAGAAGCTCCCCTCCCACCAGAGAAGGGGCGTGGCTCGAGAAGCTCTTCCACTAGAGGTGAAGGGGCGGGGCCTGAAAGAGCTTCCTGCCCCCTGGTGAATTCGAGGGGCAGGGCCTGAGGACGCTCCCCCACCAGAGAAGGGGCGGGTCCCCTCTCTTCCTGGGAGCCAAGTCTGCTCAGATCTTCGCTTGCCACCCTCGGGCACGGACTCTATTCAGTTTCTATTTCCAGCCCTGACCTCTTTTCGGAGCTCCAGACCTGACAGATCTCCGCCAGGACAATCATGTGCCAGGCACTGTGCAAAGTGTGCCTTTTTGCTTTTCTTTTTTTGTGAGGGGATTGGGGTTAAGTGACTTGCCCAGGGTCCCACAGCTAGTAAGTGTCAAGTGTCTGAGGTTGGATTTGAACTCAGGTCCTCCTGACTCCAAGGCCGGAGCTCTATCCACTGCACCACCTAGCTGCTCTAAGTGTGCCTTTTTTCAAAACCTAGCCTACCTGTACCTTCCCTTCTACCTCCATTTTTTTCTGAGGGACCACCCTGGCTTGAGAGCCTGGCTTCCCTTGGACTCTTTCCTTGTGTCATATCCCAGTGTTACCAGGTCCCATGCGTTGGACCTTCACAATCTCTCACATGTGTCCCACGGTCCCACACCTAATCCCTCGGTCACCACTCTAGTACAGAGGCCCTTATTACCAGCTAATTTCGTACCAGAGGCAAAAATGTAAAATTACACCATTTGAGTACGTGCATATTTTATCTATTTTTCTGCCTCACCTTTGGCCTGAGGCTTGCTCTCCCCTTGTCACAGTTCTCATTCTCACTTACCGGGACTATTGTGACAGTCTCCTAACAGGTCTTTCCTCTCCAGCTCCATCACTCACTGTCAGAAACATTTTATGCAGAGATCTGGTCATTGCCATTCCTCTGCTCAAAAATCTTCAGAGGTGTCCTTGCCCAGACTGGAGTTCAAATTCTTT